AAGAAGCATTATTTATTCTTTATGATATAATCACCCATTTAGAACTGGGACCATGCAATCTTCCAAAACCTATCACAGTGAAGAGAAATGCAAATAAACTTGATCTTACACATTTTTCATTTATAGACTCAGCTCATATCTAACAGCTTTTAATCCAAACATGCTTCTAATGCGTATGTCTTCCTCTTTCATTCTCTTCCTCCTCCTCTAATGGTTGCCTTCTTTATGTCTACGTTGCTAGTTCTTCCTTAACTTTCTACCTCTTAATTGTGGAAATTATCTTTGTCCTTGGAACATTGCTATTTCTCCTGCACAATTTTTACTTGTAGGAAATTATTCATTTGTGTGGCTTCGAGTAATACTTTTATTTTGTCTCTGGCTTACAGGTGCTTATGAACTAGTGTAAAAGGCATGAATTTATACTCTTTCATGGCCTTATCTTTACATAAACTATTCCCTTTGCCTAGAAGAAGGAGGAGGATAATACAGTTTAAAAATCTGGTTGCTTGTTTATAGTCTGAAGGGAATGACTTGCTAAGAAGACCAAACCAGTAAAAAGGGAATTTAAATATGTTTATTCAATTATTCTCATTGCAATCATTACTGAAGCAAAGCAACTCTAAGAGTTGGGATTTATTCAGTAGTTGTAGATTTGCCATAAAATGGAGAGGGACATCACTTCTACATAGATAGGGAAATCCAGATGTGGTTGCACATGCCTGTAATCCCAGCTACTCAGGAGGCTGAGGCAGGAGAATCAGGTCAGCCTGGGCAACTTAATGACACCCTATATTAAAAAAAAAAAGACTGGATCAATGGTTCTGGTGCCTGGCTCGCAAGCGCAAGGTCCTGAGTTCAATCCCTGGTACCAAAAAAAAAAAAAAAAAGAGGGGGTTGAGCATGGAAAAATTCTAAGTGAAGAACCAAGACTGTAGGATTTTGTATTTTGTATGAAGGCATGCTTTAAAGACATGTCCAGGCCAGTCTCCCAGGCTACTTAAAACTACAGTACATAATTTTAGTGTTAACCCTTTACCTATTTAACACATTAAACTGTGTGTGTGTGTGTGTGTGTATATATATATATATATATTTGGTACCAGGGATCGAACTCAGGTCCTTGCACTTGTGCAGCAGGTGGTGAAACCACTGAGCTAAATCCCTGGCCCTAAACTGTATATTTTAAAAAGTATCTGTGATTGGGGCCTGTGGTGTAGGTCAGTAAAAGTGCTTGCCTAACATGTATGAGGCTCTGAGGTCAATCTTCAGCACTGGACAAACAAAACAGAACAGAATGCAATCAGTAACAAGATATAATTTAGGGATATTGCTGTCTGATTTGATTCTTGTGACACCCATGGTAACTGGATTTTAGCAGGTGGGATCATGTGATTTAACTCCTACTGAGAATTCACGTGTACTAAAAGAAATTTTTACTTTTTCTATCAATTTTGAATTATCTGTTTGCCCAAATGATCCATTTTGTCATGACTTTTCCTTCTCCTCTATAAAATTCTAAAACCTAACTAAAATATTAACCTTTCCTGACTTAATCCTTTTATTACATCTAATTATTTTTAGTATTCATACTTTCCTTTTTTTGGAATCAGTAATGAATGTATAGCTTCTGCTGAGTCTTTGCAGAATATTATACAAACCCTTGTCTTCAAATTTTTACTTTTATGTAAAAGGATTATACCTATTAAAAGAAGATGTGCTTCTTTTAAATTTCCAAAATAGTTTCTTTACTAGTATAGCCATGTGGTTGATTATCCAGAGTGGGAAACAAAACATTTTCTCGTGCCTTTGAGCAAATCTTGTGGCGACTATTTCTGTCATGCATGTGTGGCTTAGCAATCAAGGGACTGAACATGGGTTGCTCTAACTCCAGGTCTCAGTTTGGGGTGCTAGCCGCTCCTTGCGCCAGTATTCTGGAACATTACATTTAAAGACACTCTTCATGATCATTTTAAATCTATTATCACTGTGATCTAAATTTCTACTATTGGTTCCTTAATGGACCAATAGTAAATATCCATGAAGATGAACACAAAGGAAGTTGTTGCCCCTTTATTACTGACCTGGATGATTTATAATTTAGAACACATTCACAGTTCATTTTGACTGAAAACTCTGAAAATACAGAAATCACATTTTTTTAGGGTCATTACTTTTGGCAAGAAGAAAATCATGTCACAACAGGTTTTTCCTAGATCGTATTAAGAAATTAATGTAGCTTAATCATACCCTATTTATCTTCTAGATTAAGTGATATGAAAAGGGAGTAATTTTTCTTTGAAACTTACAAGTATGATATGCATATACATGATTTTAAGAATTTAATATGTTAACTTCAAGATACAACTATATTCTAATACCATTATTTTAAATGTAAATAAACAGATTCTTATAAGACTAAAATAATCCACAAGCCATAAAGTTAGTTCTTCCTTTTTCTTTTTTTTTCCTGCTTAAACAAATGTGCACCACAATGTTTCAACAAGTAAGGCAAATGCCATGAGCACAAAAGCTGAAGTTTGCAATATACCACATCTAGAATCCAGGGGAGGTGAATTAGACAGAAGTGGTAGCCATTCTAATTAAATAATCAGGTAACATCACGACGAGTTGATTTGTATCATCAGAACTGTCCATTTAAGTTTCTTTTTTCTTGATGATCAGAGGTCCCACATTGTCTCCAGTCTCTTCATTGTGTTTTGTGTGAGATCCATCACAGAGGGGGAACTAGGAAGACAGAGAGAATGTGAAACATTTAATACTCAAAGGAATGTTATGCTTGGCAGTGGGAGGAGTGATGTTTAATTTACATGTATTACAACTTAAAAGATTTTTCTTGGCTACCTTATATAGGCTTTCTTAAAAAAAAAGGAAGAGGGGCCAGGGATTTAGCTCAGTGGTTCCGCCACCTGCCTCACAAGCAGAAGGACCCAAGTTCGATCCCTAGTACTACAAAAAAAAAAAAAAAAAAAAAAGAAATCCATTTGAGGATAACATAGCACTTCACTTTTTTTTTTTGGTACTGGGGATCAAACTTGGGACCTTGTGCTTTTGAGGGGCAGAACCACTGCACTAAATCCCCGGCCCAGCACTTCACTTTTATTATATTCGATTATGGATGTTGAAAACCTTTTCCATATGGGTCTGTTGACTAATTGTGTTTTTCTAGTGAACTATGTCCATTGCCTATGTATTTGTAAGTTTCTTTTGGGTGCTGGGAATTGAACCCAGAACTTCATGTCCCTGAGCTTTATCCACAACCCTATTTGTTTTTTTCTGGTACTGGGGATTGAACTCAGGACCTTGCATTTGCGAGACAGGCAAGGCATCACTGAGCTAAAACCACTACCTTATTTGTAAGATTTTTAAGTTCATTTGTTTAAAATTATTTGTGTATGATCCCTATGTTGATCATCTTTGCAGCAATCTTTTCATTTTCTTATTTTTAATATGCTTAATTTCTTTATTTTTTATAAGTATACTAATATTTCCCTTTTTAACATGGTTCAGACTTTTTTAGAAACATGATTAATATAAATTTCTGATTTTCATTCTTTTTCATAATTTCATATTTTATGTGTAAGTGTTATTTTGGAGTCCAGTGGGAGGGAAGAAAGGAATGAAACTAAATTTCTAACAATGTTTCCCAGTGTGTTTCAAAGAAGGTGAAATCCTGTAGGATATTCTGGTTTAGTTTCATTCTGTTTAAAAAACATACCATACATTTTTATTTTAAAGAAGTTATCTTGTAAAATATACTGGTTTAACCTAGAGATTTTCAAGCTGCCGTGGATACTTTTAACTTTGATATCTACTACCATAGTATTCTGTAGAGCATACTTTGAAAACGTTGTTCTAGGGCCGGGGATTTAGCTCAGTGGTTTTGTCCCCTGCTGCACAAGTGCAAGGACCTGAGTTCAAACCCCGGTACCAAAAAAAAAAAAAAAAGAAAATGTTGTTCTAAGATTCTATTGCATCACTATTAGAGACTGCTGATTTTCAAATTGTTGTGCCTTTATGCATAATTCTATCAAAATAAATTCTTCACATGTAAGTGCTTATTTATAGGTTCTTTGTGATCACATTAATCAGCCTACCACAGTGGGATAGTTGTGTTTAAAATGGGTTAGTTTTTCTCCATTATTTTCTGCTGACTTTACTGAATTTTACTTATTTATTCTTCCAGATAAGTTTGAGAATTTTTTTCCCCATCTTATTTCTATTGTAGTTTTCATCTTCAAGTCCCAGGCATATTCTGCTAGGATTATTTCTGTTGTTATTTTATATTTTTATGGTTATAATTAAGTATATTTTCTTTCATACCTGAACATTCATGCTCTCTAGATATCCTTGGTTTTTACAAATATATCCTCCTTATTGCTAAACTATAAATACAAGAATTCAATAACGTTTCAGATAATGCCTTAGTATTTTTTTTTTTGGTACCAGGGATCAATGCCTTAGTATTTTACTAATTATTAGTAAATGTTTCATTTCTTTCCTTCTGTATTTATATATTTTATTTCTATATAACCTTAAGCAATGAGAGCTAGCAACTTTGTGCTATTCTTGATGTTTTCAATGCATCTACATATATAGTTTCAGTTTGGTACAAGGTACACTGTAGCACTGAAAGAACCTATTTAGAGGAATAAAGTAATGGAATACTGCACTTTGAGGTTAATAATCACCTCTTTAAAGTGAAGGACTATAATTTTAGATACCTCAATTTTGACAATCTATACATCATCTTAAGCTATGATATTCAGAACCCTCTATCCTAAGGTTAAAATAATATTTAGCTCACATTAAAATCCTATCTTAATTGTTCTATCTATATAATTATAAAAGGCACTAAAGTAATTAAAAATTATAGAATATCTCAAAGTATCAGCACGTATTTCTAGATATAAATCTTACCCAGAGGCAGATGGAAGTGTAAATATAATGTACAAAAAGCTTACACTATTTCTTTTTTTAGATAAAATACAGATGAGCAAAGAGGTCATAAAGATCAAACTGAAATGTATCATACAGCAAAGTACAGCATTTCAAAGTGAAATATGTTTGCTAAACAGATGATTTCATAGTGAGAATAAAAGTTTACACAGTAAACGACTTCATTTTTATACATAACACACATATACAAAACATTGCACCCAAGAGCTTTACCCATACAGGTTATAAAATGCATTTCTGAAAAATGAAACATTTCTTTGTGGTAATGCAGATCAAACTCAGGGGGACTCTACCCCTGAGCTATACCCTCTGCCTTTTTAATTTCTGATATAGGGTCTAGCTAAGTTGCCCAGGGTGGCCTTGAACTAGAGATCCTCTTGCCTTAGCCTTACAAGTATCCATGACTAAAGGTGTTTTCCACTGTGGCCAGCCTGATAAATGAAATAATCTACTGAAATGGCACGCTTAATTTTTATTTCTTTAATTTCTAGAAAACCTAATGTATTTTCAGATATTATTTTCCTGAAGAAACACAGAATCAAGACAGGAGATAAATCTATAGAGATATATATTTAAAAGACTATTTATCTCTCTTTCTATATATATATTTGGTACTGGGGATGGAACTCAGGACCTTGGTAGGTGTGGTGCTGCTAAGCTAAATCCCCGGCCCAATAGTCTTTTAAAAATTAAGAAGGTGGGCCAGGGATTTAGCTCAGCGGTTCCGCTGCCGGCCATGCAAGCCCAAGGACCCCAGTTCAATCCCCAGTATCAAAAACAAAAACAAAACAAAATAAAATTAAGAAGGTAAAATGTCTAAAATTAAACTTTAGTTACCTATTTCTGCCTAAAGACTGAAGTCAGCCTGTTTCTTCATTCTTTAAAGCAAAGAAAAGTATTTCTTTGAAAACTACTGGGTAGTAGATCATGGCTATTACTTTTGATACATTACAGTACATAAAACTTAAACATTTTAAATATAAACTAAGTATTAGAAATAATTTGGTTTATTGACACAGGTTACCTTTTTTTGTGTGCGTGCAGTTGGGGATACAACCTGGGGCCTTATGACACAGATACCTTCTAATGGTACTTTTTATATCACGTAACCCAACGATAGTGAACCTTTTAGAGACTGAGTGTTCAAACTGCAACACAAAATCCACTTATTTTTCACAAAATGCCAACACTGCAATTAAACCTGAATACTGAGGTTTTAGTCTAGAAAAAACAACACTTACATCAACATATTTTGTCTTTTTTCATCATTTTATTGCTTTCTTATTTCTCAATGCACAATTTTTTTTTTCCAGTACTGGGTATCAAACTCAGGACCTTGTGCTTGCAAGGCAGGCGAGGTGCCACTGAGCTAAATCCCCAGCCAAATGCACAATGTTTTTGAAGGACAGCAATAAGATATCTAAAATCCAACATTATTAAACATTCAGATAGTAAAATACAATGTGGTAAAAAGCTCTCAAATGTTAAGTAATCCAAGCTCTATCTGTCAGAACCTTGGGATAGCAGCTACTGGATTTATCATCGTGGTTCAAAATAAGAATTGCTCTCTTCTGACCCAGGGAACAGGCAGGAGTCTCAAATGCGAACCAACCCTCTAGGCACTGGGGGAGCACTTTGGTCTCCCTTTGCAATGGCTGGGAGATTTTCGTAATGACTGACTAGTACAGCAATCTGCCCTCTTTTGTCTTAAAAACAAGTAACACATGCCATAGGTTCACCACCACTGACTTAACCCCAGCATATATGCCTTAAATCAGAATCTTGTCCTAAACTTCATGTGATCGTACTTATTCATTACTGATTTCTCATTTTAAGTTAATAAAAAAACTAAAATCCCCTTTCAATCAAGAGCCAAAATGAGTATTTTAAACAAAAGATTATTAATTTCCTTTTTCTTATCAAATTCTATCAAATTTGTTGCAAGATGCCAGTATTTATTAACAAGTCCTTGAGTAAGTTTTTGGATCAAATTGTCTGAGGTTCTTGTAAATCCAGAAAATATCCTTTTATAGTAACCCAACTTAAAAATTAGAAATCTTTAAAACTGGAGACAAAAAGGTGAGAAGAGGTTGGAATAAAGGTTTAATAGGAAAATACCAGAATCCCTGCTCTCTACCTGGAAAGCCAGTAACATTTCAGTGTCTTCATAAAAAACAAACAAACAGAATTTGTACGCTGAATGAACCCTACATCTCTAGTTGTTTGTTTTCAAGGTGATTCAAAATAAACACTCCTCTTTGAGCTATCTCTTCTACCAAACAGTTCGAAAAAAAAAAAACCACAACATGATTTTTCTTCTCTAAACTTGTACCAATTTTTCATTTTGTTTTGGGTAAGCTTTGTACATTTAATGAGTTTTGATGTTCTGTTCCAAGGAAGTTGCCTGGGGTCATTCTGGCTCATTACCATAAACTAAACTGAGAAATATCATTGCTTTTCGTTGAGAAAGAAAACTAAAGTAATGAAATCTTTGAGACTACCATATGAAACAATGTGAAATTTTATACCAATCTTACATACTTAATAAAATGTAAGATAATGAATTTAAAAAGCCAGAAAGAATGATTTTACAAGACTATCCTTACTTGAAATATCCAAGGAATCTAACCGGCAGTTGAAATATAATTCCTATGAAGAAACAGTCAGTGTAAAACTCACTTCTAAACCATTAATAGGATGGAGATTCTCTCTCCTCTCCACCAAAACAGAACCAAGCCTACCACTACCAGCATCACCAAATATTCAAATGCAAATGAAAGAAAATAATTGTACATATCCTGAGGTAGGTGGGGAGATGGCAATCTAGCAAGGCTATGTGGCATACTCTTCCTTCTTACATTCAAGTTCTTTATTTTCCTGTTTTGAAAGTAAGATTATCTCTTAGAATTTAAACCTGAATATGCTTATTTTCATCTCCTTCCATCTTCTTTCTAGACACCACTGTCTCAAAGAGCCCCTTTTTCTGAAGTCCCTTTAATCATTTTCTCTGTTGGGTTTTTTCATTAATTTAAATAATAGCCCTTTTGTGAAATGTTTCTGAAACAACAGAGGATATATATATATATATATATATATATTTT